ATCAAACGATATCTGGTCTCGATGTATGGTAATTAAGCCTTCTACATTATGTATTATAATAGAAACCAGACTACCTGTTTATGTTTTTAGTTTCTGTATATTTTATTTTTATTTTAATGGTGGCCACATCTTAAGTTTTTTTTTTAAACTTATTGTGGTCTCCATCCACATAGATTTTTTGAATATATTTGATCATGTATATGTTTTTTTTTTGTTCATTATGTGGAAAATAAATAAATCAATCAATCAATCGATCAAACATAAGGTAATGAAAAATTACCACTATGTACAGAACATGAATTAAAGTTTTACTATTAATACTAATATAAATGAACATTTTTAAAAATGAATTAAATGAAAAATGTATTATTTAAATATATTATATTACATAATCAATTACTTGTATTTTTAAAAAAAATTATTTTTTAATACAAGTAATTAATTAGGTAATTCTTGTCACCATCCAAAGTATATGTTTTAAATCATTAGAAGTTGAACTTGATGCTATGGTATGTTACTAACTAGCCACTGGAAGAAATCTATAGATGACGTCAAAGCCTGCTCATATCCTGTTGGCAGCATTATTAGATGAATTCATTAGATACAAGGGCTGGGGACAATATGGCATTACACACTAGACACTTATTATTTTAAAAGCCTTCTACTATCATAATTATCTAAAATATAATAATGGTCTGTTTACAGATTATAAGCTGAGGTTACATTTACAACTCACAACAATCATGATGGCTGATCATCTTATCCTATAATGTGCTTAAGTATTTTACACAGAAATCAACAGATTTTTTAAATCAATATTTAAAATGGAAACAAATAGCAAAATATATTAAATTGTTTAATCAACATCCTTAAAAAATATAGTATCAGTAAATTATCTTGATTACTTTCCATCAATTGGTATGATAGTCACATTTGAAATGAAAAATACAGTAGTAAAAAAGAAAAAAAAAAATCCAAAATAATTACTAAATAAACAGAAAGGTCAGGTCACAACTAAGTAGGACAAAGCAAACTTAACATTTTCATAATGAAGTAATTATTATGCATTTACATGCATCCTAGTATAGCATTATTTCAGAATGAAGCAATTAGGCAAATTTCACATCTCATTGCCTTATAATATAAATGCAGCTTTTGGAAATACAGCGCATTCATTCTCCTACATATTCAAATGAGCATTTCTAACAACAGAATCAATACTCACAATATTGATATCCATGAGACCGGAAGTAGGCCTACTGTACACAATCACAGCTTTCGATGCAACAAACCTCGCTACAAAACTACAAGTCGATACTCGAACATTACGCCTACTGTTCAGTGTTAGAGGCATCACACCGAGTACAGTCTTAATTGTTAGGAGAAAGTACATATTCTATAGTGCCAATTAATTTGTTTAATTATGTACGGAATTCCCTATTTACTTGGCAAATACAAGTTCTAAGCTACCTTAACGATAATACTAAGAGCAAGCTAGAGAATATGCAAATACTGTAGATCAAATTAAATGCAAAATTAATTTATTATATTTAAATTGATTGTTTTTTGGTTTTTGTTGAACCAAGCATTATACTGTATCAAGAACATAAACCAATTTTGTGCATTATGCTTATGAATGGCAAGAGAATGCACAATACTTGGGTCCATCTACAGTATGGGCTTTTAATTTTTCCCAGAACACAATGTTGACCTATTATAGTTCAATTGACAATGAGATAGCAGCCTGATATTGATGGGAGTTGTTAGGTCATTAAGATAAAGTGGAGCGTCCAAACAAACCTTGGATTTTGGTTTTTACAGTCTATGAAAAATTAATTTTAAAAGCTCTGTCTAGTTCAAAAAATTCCACATTGCTTTCAATACTTAATATATGTTGATTCAGACATTAAAACAAGCTTCTTATTTTTACAGACACACACAAATTGTTTGCAATAGACCATTTGGCTAGTAGGCCCTACATTTAATTAATTAAAGGGTTTGTGTACAGTACAGTAGTATAGCTAATATTTCCAGATTTCACAATCCTAATGAAGTTGTTAAATCTCATGATATTTTCGAGCAAAATGCAAAACATTACCTATACTGTATTATCAAAATATAGATTAGATTATATAATATACATTGAAATTTTAAAATAGGCCTATAATTTTTGTTTTCAATCCAGTTTTATTTATAAATGTCATTTTTCTAACAGTATTTTATAGTAGCCCTACAATATATACAGTTTTATTAAAGGAATAACTTCAAATATGGTATGATTCGATCGTATTTTAAGGTCATTTAATATATAAAATCAATAGTATTGCCATAGAAACACCACTTCCTGTATTTTTAACAATAGATGTCTAACCAAGGTTGTTGAGTGAAGAAATGATAATTACATGAATATTGACTTGCTATTGCTACTTTACCATTTTGCTCAGACACCATAGGATTATAAAACTCAAAAATTATGTTGAATCTTACAGTATGTGTACAGTATGTATTTTTTTACATTACAGTACAAGCAAAATGCATTCCTACATCATGCATTCCTACAAACACGACTATTTGATTGCATCACAACATTTTCCTGTAGCAATATATGTAATGACATTTTGCTGTCACTAGCTATAAACATGTTTTTCTCAGATACAATATACTTGGTACTGTAATAAGATGACCAATGCCATTTCTAGTATCACTTATTTAATGGTTTGTAGTGTTAATGTTAATGTCTGTTGCCATGTTGACGTCAGAGAGTTATCTGCTGTGAGGCTTAGCACAGGTGAATCAAACATCTTGCATCAAATTTATATCAGATATTATTATCAGTCATCCAGACATCCACGCTATACAACGCTAAGCTTAAATGT